TGTTGGTATGTTTGACCTTGTTTTTTACGCCTTATACTTTTATCTTTATTCCAACTTTTCTATGTAGACATTATCTTTTCTGTAATTTAGAAAGGAGGCAACGTTTTTATTCCAATAGTCATTACCTTAAAGCTTTTCAAAGACATTCTTAAGCAGAATGCACATAAATAGAGGAATAATTAAAATACACTTATCAAAGTTAATGCTGTAACAGGAAAATAATTCTCGACTCTGTTGGGAAAGATAAGGGTGTGTTATTTCTGTCTGTTTCCTTTCCGCTCGGTTTTTCCATCAGTGTAATTGGGCAGAGTACAGCATCATGGTTTTATTTTTAATTTGTTTTTTCTCTCCTTCAAGAATTGATGATCTCTTTCAAAAAAAGTAAGCCGTTTTTATAGTCCATTTTGTAGCTCATTTCACCCATTTTGTGGCTGGTGGGAGTTATGGGAAGCCTCCGGCCTTCTATTTCTTTCTCATGCAAACAGCAGCTGTCTGAGGCAGGTTATGGGCTTGTCTTGCCTCCAAGTTATATAGATGTGGCTCTAACATTTGGTTTTGCAGAGAAGCTTGCGGCTGCCCCAGTTTTTTTGTTTTTTTTTTTCCTTTGAAGTTAATCTGATTATTTTCCTAGATTCTTGTGGATTTCCTTCTTTATCTTTCAAGTTTTGAAACTATTCTAATTTCTACGATCTATTAATCATCTTTCCATGTTTATCTTTGTTCTTTTCCTCTGTTCTGATGAAGAGCCTTGGGCTAGTCTTCCATTTCAACATTGTGATTTTTTTCTTAGTCTAATCCACAATTTACTGCCTTATATTTCCTTTAAGAGTGACAGTTTTCTGGCTGGGTGCAGTGGCTCACGCCTGTAATCCTAGCACTCTGGGAGGCCAAGGCGGGAGGACTGCTTGAGCTCAGGAGTTCGAGACCAGCCTGAGCAAGAGTGATACCCTGTATCTACTATAAATAGAAAGAAATTAGGCAAACAACTAAAAATAGAAAAAAAAATTAGCTGGGCTTGGTGGCGTGTGCCTGTAGTCCCAGCTGCCTGGGAGGCTGAGGCAGGAGGATCGCTTGGGCCCAGGAGTTTGAGGTTGCTGTGAGCTAGGCTGATGCAGCAGAGCCAGACTCTGTCTCCAAGAAAAAAAAAAAAGTGACAGTTTTATTGACATGTAATTCATATACCATAGAATTCACCGATTTAAAATGTACAGTTCATTGGTTTTTAGTATATTAACAGGGTTGTGTAACCATCACCATAGTCAATTTTAGAACATTTCATCACCCTAAAAAGAAATCTCCTACTCATCAGCAGTCACTTCCCCTTTCCTCCCAACCCCTCCCTCAGCCCTAGGCTACCACTACTCTATTTTGTGTTTCTATAGATTGGCCTCGTCTGGGTATTTCATATAAATGGAATATATGATATGTGTAGCCTTTTGTGCCTGGCTTAGCATAATGTTTTCGAAGTTCATCCTTGTGGCATATAGCAGTTTTCATTCCTTCATATTGCCAAATAACATTCTATTGTACGGATAGACCACATATCACTTACCTGTTCATCAGCTGATGGGCATTTAGGTTGTTTCCACTTTTGAGCTATTATGAGTAATGCGGCTATGAACAGTCATGTACAAGTTTTTGTATGGACATATGTTTTTATTTCTCTTTGCTATATACCTATGAGTAGAATTGCTCGGTCATATGGTAACCCTATATTCAACCTTTTAAGAAACTGCCAGACTGTTTTCCAAAGCAGCTGCACTATTTTACATTCCCACCAGCAGTATATGAAGGTTCAGATTTCTCCACATCCTTGCCAACACTTGTTATTTTATTTTTTTCTTTTTGGTGGAGATGGGGTCTCACTCTTGCTCAGGGTGGTCTCGAACTCCTGAGCTCAAACAATCCTCCCGCCTCGGCCTCCCAGAGTGCTAAGATTACAGGCGTGAGCCACCATGCCTGGCCAGTCTTTTTGATTATAGCCACTCAACATTAAAACACAATTCAAGGCCGGGCGGTGGCTCACGCCTGTAATCCTAGCTCTCTGGGAGGCCGAGGCGGGCGGATTGTTTGAGCTCAGGAGTTCGAGACCAGCCTGAGCAAGAGCGAGACCCCGTCTCTACTAAAAATAGAAAGAAATTAATCGGACAACTAAAAATACATAGAAAAAATTAGCCGGGCATGGTGGCGCGTGCCTGTAGTCCCAGCTACTCGGGAGGCTGAGACAGAAGGATTGCTTGAGCCCAGGAGTGTGAGGTTGCTGTGAGCTAGGCTGACGCCATGGCACTCACTCTAGCCAGGACAAAAGAATGAGACTCTGTCTCAAAAAAAAAAAAACAAAAAAACGCAATTCAGCCAAGTTCTCTGCCAGTCTATAAAAAAGATGACCTTCTTCTCTAGTATCCAGTAACATGTACATTGTTTCCTTTTGAGGCCTCACAGAAGAACCTTTAACATTCATATTTCTATTAACATTTTATCATTTCTATCATCATTTTCACAATGATAATATGTATTCTTTAAGATGATAGAAGCTTTCTCTAACATCCTCTTTGCTTCCTTTCTGAGCCTTCAGCAGGATCACCCTTTTTTTTTTTTTTTTAAGAGACAAGGTCTCCTCTGTTGCCCAGACTGGAGTCCAGTAGCATGATCATAGCTCACTGCAGCCTCGAACTTCTGGGATCAAGCGATCCTCCTGCCTCAGCCTCCTGAATAACTGGGAATACAGATGCATACCAGCACACCCAGCTAATTTTTTAAATTTTTTGTAGAGATGGGGTCTCACTATATTGCTCAGGCTGGTCTTGAACTCCTGTACTCATGTGATCCTTTCACCTGGGCCTCCCATGGTGCTAGGATTACAGGCATGAGCCACCGCACCCACCCCAGAATCACCTTTCCGTGTCTATGTTTCTGTCAATAGTCTCTTCAAGGCAATCTAGGCTTTTTGTTATCATGCACCTCAGAATTCTTCCAGCCTCTGCTCACACCCAACTCTATAACCACTTCCACATTTTTAGGTATTTATTACAGAATCACCTCATGTCTTGGCACCAAAGCGTGTAGTCATTTCCTAGGGCTGCCGTAACAAAATACCACACAATAAATAGCGTAAAACAACAGAAATTCTTTCACAGTTCTAGAGGCTAGAAGTCTGAATCAAGGTATGAACAAAGCCATGTTCCCTCTGAGGCTACTAGTCAAGAATCCTCCCTTGCCTCTCCCTAGTGTCTGCTTGTTGCTGCAATCCTTGGTATTTCTTGGCTTGTAGAGACATCACTCCAGTCCCTACCTCTGTCATCACGTGACCCTCTCCATGTGTGTCTGTCTGTGTCTCCATATGGCCTTCTTAAAAGGACACCAGGCCAGACACGGTGGCTAACACCTGTAATTCCAGCAGTTTGTGAGGCTGAGTAGGGAGGATCACTTGTGGCCAGGAGTTTGAGACCAGTCTGGGCAACATAGCAAGAACCTATCTCTACAAAAAATAAAAAAATTAGCCAGGCATGGTGGCACATATCTGTAGTCTTAGCTATTTAGGAGGCTGAAAGCTGACGTGGGAGGGAGCTTGAGCTCAGGCATGCCAGGCTGCACGGAGCTATGATCATGCTACTGCTCTCCAACCTGGACAACAGAGGAGATCCTGTCTCTAAGGAGGGGGAAAAATAAAACCACCAATAACTGGATTTAGGGCCCACCCTAGGACTTCAATATATCTTTTTGGGGAACACAATTCAACCCACAACAGGTAGTTTGTATCTTTCTAGGAATGTTTCCATTTCATCTAAGTTATCTAATTCGTTGGTGGATAGTTGTTCATAGTATTTCCCTATACTCCTTTTTATTTCTGTATGGTTGGTAGTAATGTTTCCTCTTTAATTCCTGATTTTAATAATTTGAGTGAGACTTCTTTTTTTTTTCTTTTTTTGGTCAGTCTAGCAAAATAGGTTTGTAAATTTTGTTGATCTTTTCAAAGAATCAACTTTTATTTCATTGCTTTTCTCTGTTATTTTTCTTTCCTCTATCTTGGTAAGTTCTGCCCTAATATTTATTATTTCCTTACTTCTACTTGCTTTAGGTTTAATTTGCTCTTCTTTTTCAAATAGAAATTATTAATTTGGGGTCTTTCTTCTTTTTTGGTATAGGCATTTATAGCTGTACATTTTCCTTTTTATTTTTCTTTTTTAATTGACAACTTTGACTCCAAGACGTTGTAGGAAAATCCTAGAACAAAGGAAGAGACCAGCAGCTTTTTATCAGGGGCATTTCATTGCTTCTTCCTCTCCCTGGGTGTGTCCTCCCTGCTGGCTCTTGGCTTCAGCCTCGGAAGGACAGGCACTGGTCAGTTCAGATATTCCTGGGCTCCTTGGCAGAGGAGTGACTAGGGGGAGGGTGTCACTCTTCACAGGATCCCCAGGAAGTGGTCCATAACTCTGCTCATGAAGTGGTCTCAGTCGAGGTGGTTCTGGCTAATGAAGTGTTGGGCTGACTTGCTCTGGGCTTGTCAGGCCCCTTAAATGACACTTAAATATTTTCAATCGGTATTCTTAGCTGTCTTTTTTTTTTGTTATTTATAGAAGATAATCTATGCTCTGTGTGTGTGTGTGTGTGTGTGTATGTTCCAAATGACAAAAATGAAGTTTTGCTTCATAGTTTGCACAAGAATCTATACTCACAAGTAGTATTTCCATAGCACAGAAAAGACACATAAGAAAAGATATATAATTAGCATTTCTGTTTATTTTTATGGTGTAAACTGCATGGATGGATGATGGATGAATAGGGAGGTCTTTACAAACAAGGGGCCACCCCATGTCAGTGCTCCTAGAGGGCCTGCTCTCCCCAGACAGGTTCCAAACTCTGGGCTGGGAGGGACCCTTGGCCCAGGAATGCCCGGCAAACCTGGTCTCCTCTGCCTGACGCCCCCACCCCACCCTACCCCCCAAGGCTGGTCCTCCGGGCCTCCAATGGGAGGTGTGATGACTGCGGTATCTCCCTAGGGTGTCTGTGAGGAAATGACCTATGAGGAAATTCAGGATCATTATCCACTGGAGTTCGCCCTGCGGGACCAGGACAAGTACCGGTACCGGTACCCCAAGGGAGAGGTAGGTGGGATTTGAGGCTCGGTCCTAGACACCTACTGCCTGCCTGGGAGTACCATCTGCTGCTGTGGCCTGTGGGGCTCTGCGGAGGCTGTGTGGCCAGCAGAAGGGCCTGGCCTAGAGGCAGGCCAGCCTGGGTGTGTTTCGTCCCTGTCACTTCCCAGCTGTGTGGCCTGGGCCTCAGGCCCTTCCTTGGGTGGTAGGTGGACAGTGCCACATAGGGCAGGCATCAGCCATAGGACCGTTGGTCCCTGCTCCCCATCTTTGTCTTCTCACTTCCCAGGGGTGCGGAACTGGGAAGGGCAGGGCCAAGATGAGTGGGCCTGGTTCTGTGGGGTTAGACTTTCCTGGGAACCCTGTGGCTAGTTCACAGTGCCCTGGCATTCCCAGGCCAGCTCCTTTCCTGGGAATTGTCAGTCCTTTGCAGGATGCTGAAGTGGCTGAGGAGTCGGGGACACCATGCCAGGCCTGAGACTCGAGTCTTAGCTCACTCACACCCCTACCCTGGGCCTTCACCCTTCTCTGGATGCTTCCCCTTGTCGCAGGATGGTCCTATCCCATGCCTCCTGTGCCTCCTGGCACTGCCCCCAGCCCTGGTTCCAGACCCAGGGAGACCTCCACAGATGAGTTGTGGCTACCACAAGCCACCTGCACTTGTCACCTTCCCTGAGACAGGCTCCCTGGTCAGCCCAGGCCCCAGGTCAGAAACTGGGGGTCACCTTTGACTCAGGCACGTCCTTCCACTTCCAGGAGGTGGCCTGGGGCAATGGCCAAATGAAATACTCCCCGTAGACACACATGTGTATACAAACACATCTTCCCACGTGGCGGCACCCACACCTGGACACCAGGCTCACAGGCCCGAATGATCCACTGTCCTTGGGATGCTACCGCTCTCAGTAACCTTCACTATTCCCCACTCGCGCTGTGAGGCAGAGTTCAGGTCTTGAACCAACGCAGATAACAGTGAAGAGAAACAAAGCAGCTGGCTGCTCAAACTTGAGAATCCGGGGTAAAAATTGGCCGGAAAATTAAAGTTACCAAAAGAATTGATCTAGGATTTTCCCAAAACTACAGGGGCCAGCACAAATCAATGTGTTGGTATTACTTCCTCATCAAAGCTTGGGGCAAGTTCAGTTACTACTGCTCAAGGCCATTTTTCGAAGGACCACTCATTGTGTGCAGAAGGAGGAAACTGGCTTAGACCCAGTCTCCTGGTGAAAGTTTCTACAGTTGCCAGGCTGAGAGGTTGGTCCAAGGACCCTCCAAGTGTCCATCACTCCCGGGAGGGGGAGGGTGCAGGGCAGGCGGACTGCAGGATAGCTCCTGGGGACCTCAGTGTTTCTGATGGGTCACACTCCAGGAAGTTCCTGGCCTTTGCTCCCTCCCTGGCAGCTCCTGCCGGTGCACTCTGTCTGCTATGGCTGAAAGGGGACAGCGTCTTTCCCACCACAGGTGCCAGCACATGAGTTCCATAGCTGAGGGTTCGGTGCAGAGCCCCATGGTAGGCACGGGGTGGCCCCTGGAATGGGAGCCTGAGGCCTAGTCCTGCTCACTCAGTCCTACTAGGACCTGGCCCTGGGATGGGAGGGGCGGCCCTTCTTCCCCAAGCTGCCCACATATCCACCCCCCAGCTTCCTTCTTAAGCCAGACATGTCACTATGGCAGTCCTCTAGGGGCAGCTGCCCACCCCCACGCCCTCAGGAGCCAGGCTGGGGGAGACCCAGCTTCAACCTCCCAGAATGGTGCGCAACTCCAGGAGTGGGAAGGCAGCCTGTTACCCAGGCTGTGTCCAACCCACCCTGGAGCCAGGCCTGAGGGACACCCTCCCTGCTTGCCCTGGCAGTCCTACGAGGACCTGGTCCAGCGACTGGAGCCTGTCATCATGGAGCTGGAGAGGCAAGAGAACGTGCTAGTCGTCTGCCACCAGGCAGTGATGCGCTGCCTTCTGGCCTACTTCCTGGACAAGGCGGCAGGTGGGGACCTTGCCCCGGGGAGGTGTGGGGGGTGTGAGAGAGAGAAGGGACTGTCACCAGGCATCCCTGGTGTGCCAGCCCTCACCTCTGTCCACAGAGCAGCTGCCCTACCTCAAGTGCCCGCTGCACACCGTCCTGAAGCTGACCCCTGTGGCTTATGGTAAGGAAGCTTCCTACACGTTGACCTTGGTTGCCACCACCTCGGATCTCTGCAGGGTCTGTGATTTTCTGCAGGTTCCTTGAAAATTCTATTAGAAACCCATTCTTCCTCCCCACCTGACTACTTTTCCCAATTTGCTTTTTTTTTTTTTTAATTATTATTTCAAAATATTACAGGGGCACAAATTTTTTGGTTACATGGATCACTTTTGTTATGCTTGAGTCAGGGTTATAAGTGTGCCCATCACCCAGATAGTGTTCACTGTACCCATTAGGTAGGTTTTTTACCCCTCCCCCTGCCCCTCTTCCCTGCTTGATTTCCACTGAGTTTTACCCAATTTGCTTTTAAAGTTTATTGTAAAATAATGTTCATAGCCACAGGAAACCTCCCCAGTGATCCTTACTTAACCATCGCCCACCTGCATGAGGGACTTTTCTACTGGTTTTTACAAAGCCCCACGGTCCCCAGGGCCTGGACCTTAAAATATTCTGGGTGCAGGGCAGTTTGAGTCCCACCCCTGCCTGTCACTGTGCCAGGAGAGACCTCAGGCAACTTCCTAATCTCTTGGGTCTCAGGTCTCACCTTTAATACAGATGCTCTCAGGAGAATGACTGTGAAGCTCAGTGACAGCTGGTATCATTCAAATGTATGATAATCCCCTCGTCCCCCTGGGCGCCTGACACAAGATTGATTGGGCCTTGCGTGGCAGAATTGGGGTTGGGTGGTTTTGGGGCCCTGAAGAATGTGAGAGTAAGTGACCCCATGTTGATCTTAGGCCTGTTGCACCCCGATCACTCTTGGTCCCGGGGTTAGGTAGCTTGGGCCTCGGTGTGGCCCTGTCTGGGCGGTCACATGTGGATAAGCACTGACGGGGGGTGCCTCGTCCTTCCTCTTAGGGCTCCCCAGAGCTTCCTGAAGGGAAAGGAGCAGAGTGAGGCAGAGATGCCTGCTCCATTTCCCAAAGCTCAGCCTCCTCCTGAGAGATGCTTCTATTCTCTGGGGCTCTAGCTGCCTTTCAGGAGGCGGATGGGTTTGCATCTTCCCTTTGGCAGGTTGTAAAGTGGAGTCCATTTTCCTGAATGTGGCGGCTGTGAACACACACCGGGACAGGCCTCAGGTAGCACTGCTGGGGTGGCGGGCGTGTTCCTGGGTGGGTGTCCAGACACCGCGTATTCCAGGGCCAGGCCCAGCTGGGGCACCTGCCTGAGGGAGCTTCTGCCAAGGCTGTTCTGTGGTCAGGGAGGGCCTGGCTCTGGGGTGGCCCTGCCATAGGCCTTCCCAAGACCAGCTGACCTGGGGAAGGGGAAGTCCCTGGAGCTGGACCACCAGGCCAAGAAATGCCTGGGTATGGCCATAGTGGGCTCCCCAGCAGGCCCACTGAGGTCTGAGGCAAGGAGGGTGAGAAAGAGGCTTGAGGGGTTCAGAGGGCAGTTGGGGATTGCCCCCCTCCCCGCCCTCGAGCCCAGGCCTCATCAGTACCTCCTCTAACTCTAGCGCCTTCAAAAATCAAAACAGTCATGCTCTGTTGGGGAAAGCACCATGCCAAATGCAGAGGGGCTCAGCCCCTCCAGAAGAGCAGCTCACCACCCCCTGTTCCCCAAGTGCCTTGTCTAAGGAGAAAGCTCCTCAAAGTGTTGCCCAGAGCCACTCTCAGTGCCCACGTGGGGTCCCTCCACACTGCTGGTTACCTCTCCCATGGAGGCCAAGGGCAGGACCTACTGTTCTGGGACCCCTAGTCCCAGTTCCTGGAATGCACGGCACCGAGAAGATTCCTGGGGCCTCAGCCATTCCTATTACCATCCATGATGGGGCCTGCTTGGGCCCTGCAGCCCTGCTGAGGGTACAGGCCTTGGGCTGGACCAGGACATCTGGCCCTGGTTGCCTGCAGCCCCTTGGCCTTGAACCCCACAGACAGAGATGTGTGGATGTGTCCTCTTCCTTCCCAGGGCTGCTGCCCCCAGCCAGGACCAGTCACCATGCAGGCTTCTTTCCCCTTTGCTCTGAGAGTCTGTGCGTGTCTTCACTGAGTTTGGCCCAGGCCCAGCCTGGCACCCACAGGTCACAGGGGAGGACATGTCCTAACAGGCATCCTTTGTGCTGAGGAAAGCCCAGGTCGTACTGGACCCCAGCACTGACAGGGTGATGGTGAGAGAGGCGCCTGGGCTTGGCAGCCTTCGGGGGCTGACCCCGCCAGCCCACAGCCATGGCGTGGCTGACAGTCGCTCTGCCTGCCTCTGGGCGGGTGCTTCTCAGAGGAAGTCTTCTACTGGCCACAATTTCCCAGCTGGTTCCCTTTCAGGTGGACAAGATCCCAGAGTCTCCTGGCCCATGCTTGGGGGCAGGCTGTGGTGGGAAAGGGGGCTCTCAGGAAGTCTGCCCTGCAGTGAGAATTGCACCTGCCCCCACGATTCCAGTGGCTAGTCCTATGAGCCCAGGGTGTGGGCCATGGGGGCCACATCTCCCTCCCTGCCGATCTGGGCATGTCATGTCACATAGGGCTATAGCCCAGGTCTTCAGTGACCCCTGCAGATGATGGTTCCTCGGGCCCACAGCCTGGAGGATGGGCCACCAGGATTGGGGGTCACATAGGACAGCCTCATAGAGCTGAAGGAAGTCTCAAGCCCCCTATTCCTCAGGCACGAGACACCCTGGGCTCTGTAGCTGGATGGGGGCCAGCTGTGGACTTCAGGGGCTCCTGGGGGCCCTGTGCCCCAGTCCCAAGGGGACAGACTAGGCTGCACATTAGGAGATGTCCACAAGCTTTTGGGGCTGTATCTGACACTTGTCTGCCAACACTTTGAGCCAGGAAGGAGGCACCCCCAGGAGCTGAACCCCTTCCCTGCCCCACTGATGATAAAAGCCCCAAGCCAGGGTTCCTCCCTAGTTGACCCAGCCCTGAGACAGGAGGTGGGGATGGCCTTGCCCTGGGTATGGCTGACCTGCCTGCAGTGGAGCAGGCAACGGGTGGCACCCTCCATGCCTACCGTTGTTCTGTTGTCTGTCTACCCACTGTGGCATGAATCTCTTGACCCTACGTTCTTAGGGAAGGTTGGGGTCTAGAGTCAGGGGTCTATTCCTCCTGAGGTGAGAATGTGAGCCCCAACGGGCCACAGCGATGAGGAAAGCTGACAGCAGCTGTCACTTCTATTCCTGCCACAAGGTGAATATTCTGTGTTTGTATTGTTGTACAGAATGTAGACATCTCAAGACCTCCGGAGGAAGCCCTTGTCACAGTCCCTGCTCACCAGTGACCGCTGCATCCACTGCGACCCCTGGGCAGGCACCGATTGCTGTGGACAAGGTCATTCCAGGCCTCCCGGTCTGTGTGACAGTCACCATGCAGGAACATTCTTGAAGCCATGTGTGGCTGGTGGTGCCCAGAACCCTGCCCCAGCCCACCTCTTTGTTGACTGTGACAAGGTTGTACGTGGTTTCTGACCTGCTGCTAAGAATCACTTGGCCAGACCGCGTCCACATGGGCGGTGAGAGCTTGCCCAGCACCGTGTCCTTCTGTTGCAGCTCTTAGGTGTTCTCTCTCACCAGGTCGGTTGGCTTTGTGAAGTGTGAAACCCTAAAATGTGAAACAGAAAGTGCTTGCTGTGACGTTCCCGCTGTGGACCTGCTGCCTGGGGTGGATCTGGCGACTCCCTGCAGGACCTCTACTGTCCTCTCTGTGCCCACTTCATGAGCCAGCAGCCAGGTCTTCATGAGACCCTGAGCTTCTGCTGCCCCTGGTGAGAGGGACAGCCCTTCCCCAGCCTTCCCCACAGGGACAAAGAGCGCCAGCCAAGGCAGATGCCTCCTGGGCAGCCACTGGCCAGGCTGTGTACCCATGTGACTGTATCTGTGGACACTCGCGAAAGCAGTGTACGTGCTTCAGCATGTCATGATGCACAGAAACATGCGGAGAGGGGAGTTTGTGGTCACCCCTCCCCAACTGTGCTAGCACTGGAAAACTTGGGGGAGCTGGTGGCTAGGGCGTGCCTTCCGGGCTGCTCTCACGTGAAACCACCTAAAGACAGCGCAGCTGTGCGAGTGACCTTCCTGGTGCACACACCGAAGTGCTTAAGGGGGAGGCTGCCATCGCCTTGCCCCTTCCCTGGCTGTGCACACTGGCACTGGGGAGGAGGTGGCCTCTCGCCTGCTGCTGCCTGTGTCCATGCAGGAGTGTACACTGGTGGCGGAGACACGCATTTGCCATAAATGATTCAGATAAACTTATTGTGATCCTGTAAAACCTGTTCTATGCTTGTTGACCTCTACCTGTGGGCCTGAGGAAGGGAGAGGACAACCCGGAGGCAGCCCGTGGGCAGGGGAGGATTTTCCCAGCCACATCGTTGCAGCTTTGATTCCTGTGCATGTGAAGCTGGTGAAAACGGCCTCAGGAAGTCAGACATCTGTCATGCCCCTGAGTTCTGCGGCAGTCTAGGGAGTGGGTTCTGGCTTCATTTCATAGCTGGCAAACAGACTGGCCAGCAAGTAGTGGGGCTGGGTCAGAAAGAGTCTAGACTTTTAGTGTGGTGCCCTGTTACCCACAGTGGACTTTGGTGAAGCCACAGCCCTGGATCCTAAGCCCACTTTGTACCCAGAACCTTCCTGGCCTGTGCCTGGCAGAGCAGCCCCCTTTTCTACCCCTCCAGAGCTTTGCATCCTGCAGGCACCATCTGCCCCTGAGAGAAATTAGCATCCCTGGCCCCAGCCGGTGGTTTCTCACCCCTGTGTGCTGTAGCAGCTGTGGGCAAAAGGTGGAGCAATGTCAGGTGGAATTGGGGCAGGATCCTTCTTCTGGACCTGTGTCCTGTTGGAGCCCCAAGCCCTTTAGACTCAGGGCCTTTAGACTCATACCACTGCCTTTGGGACATGGGGACTGCAGCCTTTGCTTCTGTGTCTGCTGGAGTTTTGGTAACTTTTGTCACCTGGACATGCTTATTTGTTAGCCATGGTGGGTCCCGCATGTACATGTGGATGTCACCTGAGGCGAGACCACCAAGGCCTTCTCACTCTGCAAAGGGGAGTCAGGAGCTGCTGGACCGGATGCATTACAGGGACTGGGGATAGGGCAGGGGGAAGCCTGGGGCTCAGGGCATGGGTAGGGTGGTCTCTGCATGGGCAGGGGTTGGCTGCCAGGTTTCTGCTGTGCTGGCCGACGTGCCCGTGTTGCATATGGTCTCCTGCTTTCCCTGGAATGGATGGTATTGGATCTCAGCCACACCTAACACTGTGTCCAGCATTCTTTGCAATAAAAAACTAATAACTTAAGGTTGTATTCTGTAGCCACTTCTCTATTTGTGAGGTATTCTTTCTGGCTGACTCTGTAGGTGCCCACCTACACTGTAGGTGTAGGTCTATGTTGGACTCAGCCCCCTCCCCCATGCTTACCCCTCACTGGAGAAGAATTGTGTGCCTAGAGCAGCGATGACTTTTTGGCACCAGGGACTGGTTTCATGGAGGACAATTTTTCCACAGACCGGGGTGGGGTGGAGTGGTGTATTGTGGGTGGAGGGAGGGTGGTGCAGAGCTCAGGTGGTGATGGGCCAGTACTGGGCCTCGGCCTGGGGGTTGGGGACTGCAGGCCTAGAGTGAGCCCTGGCCTGGCACACGTGGGCAGAGACAGGGCCTGAAGTTTCTCTGGGCTGACCTGGGATCCTGGGCCCTTGTCTCTAAGCAAGAGGCAGGTGGTTGTATATGGGGGCGGGGGGATCTGGAGTGGAGCGCTGTTAAGGGAAGGATTCTGAGATCCCTAGAAATAGGGGTCCCAAATGTTGGCATCCTTGGGGAGGGGGATCAGAGGCTGGGTCGAGGATGGAGGGGCTCCATGGGGCGTTGAGTGGGGGCATGTTGGCTAATTCTCTGGTATTTTCTTTGTCACATGCATCTTGGGTGGGGAAGGTGGGAGCAAGGGGCAGGATTTTCCCTTTCCCCTGCCTCAGAATGACATTGGCCTGTCCATACTTCCTGCCCTGGGGCTGGCTGTGAAAAGGCAGGTTGCAGCGGTGCTCCGCCACGGGCAAGATGGTGCTATGCATGGCTGGGTGCCACCTGTGCCTCTCCTAGTGTGTCAGGGCAGAGGATGCTGTGGCTGGGCTGCCTCTGGGTGGTGTGGGATGACCAATGACCAAGGCTCTGCCTTACCCAACAGTGTCATCACAGGGTTAGAGGGAGGGGCAGCTCTGTGGAGTTCAGGTGGCCGTCAGCCACCACTGTCCTGGTGGGAAGCTTGGGGCCTGGCTCAGGGGTCCTCACTCCATCTCTGGGCGCTGAGTCCTGGTGTATGCACCTGACCTCCTTTGAGGCTTCTCAGCATTGTTTGAAGAAGGGTTTGAAGATTTTTAACAGGAAAGCAACAACAGAAGGAATAAAATTTAACACTGTCAGAATTTTTCTTCAGGTCCAAGGCTCTACCACAACCTAGAAAGAGCAATTATATTATTATCATGTTGAGGAGTTTTGTAGCATTTTGGGTTACTGGGAAACAATAGCCATCAGATAGAGTCAGAGAATATTTGGATAGAATGGAATATTATTGCAAAGATACAGATTTCAGCAATATTTGATTTTTATATATCATCTATATAGGGCAGTATTGCTGTGTTTGGTTTAGACTGATCATTATTAATCCCCTGGGGCTGGCTGGGTGTGGTGGCTCACACTTGTAATCCTAGCACTCTGGGAGGCCGAGGCGGAGGATCCCTTGAGGTTAGGAGTTCAAGACCAGCCTGAACCCTGAGCAAGAGTGAGACCCCATGTCTACTAAAAATAAAAAAAATTATCTGGGCGTGGTGGCATGAGCCTGTAGTCCTGGCTACTTCGGAGGCTGAAGTAGGAGGATCACTTGAGCCCAGGAGTCTGAGGTTGCTTTGAGCTAGGCTGAAGCCGGGACACTCTAGCCCAGGTGACACAGCGAGACTCCATCTCGAAAAAAAAAAATCCCCTGGCTCTGAACATACTGTTTTTCTTTTTCTTTTTTTTTTTTTTTTTGAAAGGGAGCCTCGTTCTGTCACCTGGGCTACTGGGCTAGAGTGCCGTGGAATCAGCCTAGCTCACAGCAACCTCCGACTCCTGGGCTCAAGCAATTCTCCTGCCTCAGTCTCCCGAGTAGCTGGGACTACAGGCATGCGCCACCATGGCCAGCTAATTTTTTCGATATGTTTTTAGTTGTCCGATTAATTTCTTTCTATTTTTAGTAGAGACGGGGTCTCGCTCTTGCTCAGGCTGGTTTCGAACTCCTGAGCTCAAACAATCCGCCTGCCTCGGCCTCCCAGAGTGCTAGGATTACAGGCGTGAGCCACCGCGCCCGGCCGAGCACATTGTTTTTTAAATTTTCTTTTTATTAAAAATTTTTTTTTGAGACAGGGTCTTACTCTGTCACCCAGGCTGGTCTGCAGGGTCGCAATCATTTGAGCTTACTGTAGCCTTGAACTCCTGGGCTCAAGTGATCCTCCCACCTCAGCCTCCTGAGTAGCTGGGGGTACAGGTGCACGCCACCATACCCAGCTAATTTTTAAAAATTTTTTGTAGAGACAAAGTCTCGATATGTTAATCAAGCTGGTCTAGAACTCCTGGCCTCAAGTGATCCTCCTGCCTCAGCCTCCCAAAGTGCTGGGATTTACAACTCTGAGCCACTGCACCTGGCCAGTTGTTTAAACAAAAGTATTTTATTAAAATTGAAAAATGGCTTTGTGGTAGACCAGAAATAGTGACTGCCACACCTGGTTGGTAGCCACAGGTCTCTTTGGGGAGGTTGTGAGAAAAGTGACGGTATGGACCTGTGCTGTTTTCACAGGGCCCTCCTTAAAGGGTGCTCACCCGACTTCCTCCAGGGGCCCCCGGATTTGTGAAATGATTTTATCTGGAAAACTGGTGCGGGTCATCTGTTACAGCCAGGTCTGTTAGTTGGACCTCATGTTCTTTTGGAATATAAGTAGGACTCTAGTGCCTCCCCATCTATTTTGGTCCTCGGGGCCTGGTGATCAGGTCACCCAGGGTCCTTGTATCTGCAGTGAAATCAAAGAGCCATTTCATGTATAGCATCTCCTGTCAGAATCCCTGACTCATGGAGAACAGTGACTATGGTGCCTACTATGTGTTGAATTGTGCCACCCCCAACACCTCTTCATGTGACCTTATTTGGAAATAAGGTCATTGCAGATATAGTAAGTTGAGGTCAGACTAGAGCGGGGGGAGTGAGTCCAGTATGCCCTGGCACCTTCAGAGGAAACGTGACTCTGCCAACACCTTGATTTCAGACTTCTGGCCCCTGGAACTGTGAGACAATAAATTTCTGTTGTTTCAGCCACTCCGTTTGTGGTACTTTGTTACACTAGCCGTAGCAAACTAAAACTTTTCAAAGATGCATTCCTCAGCAATGAATTTCCCAAGGCCTCAGCAAAGGGAGCATCTTCGGGGCCTTCTCCAGGGGCTCAGTTAGGGAGAAGGTAAGTTGTCCATGATAAATTCAGTCTAACATTTGTTTCGAATGAATGACTAAGTCTTAAGGCTTTGGATTCTTTCCTCTACATTATACCAGGGAGCTTTCGGCATCTTGAGTGCATTTAGTGAGACCCAGCTTTTTTCAGCCAACCAAGGAGACATGTAGAACAACCCCCAACAGCTTGAGCCAACACATTGAATCCCAAATCTCTGCTAAGCACACCCATAGTGATGAATTCAGCCCAATATAAACTATGTGCTTTCTTATCTCCTTTTTCTAGGACTTCAATCTGTTCCCACACATATTCTCCATATTTTGGCCAACATAAAATAAAAAAGTCTTGCAATTCTTTTGATATGTAAGCCTTCCCCTCTGGGCTTGACTTTGTAATAGGGTCTCCAGACACACTGGGCTCTAAAGGCACTGGAGACCTTGAGGTGTTGGGCAGGAGGGCTCCAAGGACAGTGGGGTTCCTCTGCAGAGCAGCTCCTTCATGATGTCTGGGGGCTGGGGCTTGCTCCGGCAAGCAAGGGCAGTGCAGAAGAGGCTGGGCATTGGTGGTGGGTGGTCTGATTCTTCTGAATTCTTTCATATGTCTGTATTCCACCTAATTCATTAACACACTTATTAAGTGCCTACCATGTGCTGAGCAGCGGGGATATGGGAGTAAGCACAGTGGGCAAACTCTGCTGTCAGAGAGATGACATTCTAGTGGGGGAGACACAGTAAATACAAAAGTAAAAGATGTGTATTAGAGGGTGCTGAGGGAGGGGGTTGCAAGA